GTAGAGACGGGGTTTCACCGTGTTAGCCAGGATGGTCTCGATCTCCTGACCTCGTGGTCCGCCCGCCTCGGCCTCCCAAAGTGCTGGGATTACAGGCGTGAGCCACCGCGCCCGGCCTTGAGTTAATTTTTGGATATAAAGGCCCAACTTCAGCCTTCTGCATGTAGATTGTCATTAGGATACAGACCAAAAAAAACAACACAGTTTTTCTTCCTCCATCCTTGCCTTCTCTCCTGGAACCCTGGGGATGTAAAGCCTTTCACGGAGCTAACTGGCGAAGCAGAAAGTCCCAGCTCTGGCCCCAAAGTAGAGTGCAGATTACTGAGATTGGACATAATAGCTTAATAACTGGGACACATCTACATATGCACCATTTTTTCTCTTAGCCATTTGAAAGTAAGTACAGGCATCACGGATGTTCACCTCTAAATATTTGCAGGCCTCTGCTTTAAAAATAAGGACATTCTCCTATGTTACCATAATATCATTATCACTAAAAAATAACAGTAATTCAAATATTTAAATTTAAATGTTACCAATTATTCCTAAAATGTCTGTTGTATCTTTTTCTCACCCTAACCAATCCAAGATCAATGTTCTCGTGTATTGAATTTAGTTATTTCTCTTTAGTCTTCTTTTAGATAGTGCTATAATTTTTAAATTTATTTTTAATTTTTTTTTTTTTTGAGACAGGGTCTTACTTCCATTGCTCAGGCTGGAGTGCGGTGGTACGACCTCTGCTCACTGCAACCTCTACCTCCTGCCTTAGCCTCCCGAGTAGCTAGGACTATAGGCACGTACTGCCACGCCCAGCTAAATGACTTTTTATATAAACTAGAGATGGGGTCTCACTGTGTTGCCCAGGCTGGCCTCCAACTCCTGGGCTCAAGGGGTCTACCTGCTTCAGCCTCCCAAAGTGCTGGGATTATAGGTGTGAGCCACTGCACTTGGCCAACTATAATTTTTTGGGTTTTTTTAATGCGTAATTTTTTTTTTTAAAGATTCAACACCAGAAAAATGTTTCACATTCTGGTTTTGCCTCATTGTTTCCTCATGGTTAGATTCACATTAAACAATTTTTATTAAGAATATGGCTGGGTGCGGTGGCTCACACCTGTAAACCCAGCACTTTGGGAGGCTAAGGCAGGTGAATCACCTGGGGTCAGGGGTTCGAGACCACCCTGGGCAACATGGTGAAACCCTGTCTCTACTAAAAATACAAAAATTAGCCAGGCACAGTGGCGCATGCCTGCAATCCCAGCTACCCAGAAGGCCAAGGCAGGAGAATCGCTTGAATCTGGGAGGCAGAGGTTGCAGTGAGCAGAGATCGCGCCACTGCCCTCCAGCCTGAGAGACAGAGCGAGACTATGTCGCAGAACGAACAAACAAACAAACAAAATGACTACATAGTTAAATCTATATACTTCTTGTTGCCTCAAATCAGGAGACATATGATGTCTCCCCAGCACTGTGGAAGCT